TAGGGCTTACAGGCCCCGGTCGTTTCAGCCTGAAAGCTGAAAAACGAGGGCCTGCAGGCCCTACTCCGTTTTCAGCCTATTTCTGGGCTTTCAGGCCCAGAGCCTTTCCAGCCTGAAACGGAGGGGCCATTTTCAGGCCCTCATTTGTTTCGACCTGCCCTAAGACTCAGGCACGAAAACTGGGTTTCCGAACAGGCTATTTCTGGCCTGTTCCCCATGCCAGCTCGAGCAGGAGCTGCAGCTGCAGCCCCTGCCTTCCTTCGGCATTGGTAAGAGCAGCCTCCTGGACTGCTGGCCCGAGTCAGGAGGCACACCCGGTAGTACATAGGAAGTTCCCATGCACTTCACGGGTAGGTAGTGGTCAGTAGGCACGAGTAGTCTTCAGGATTCGGCCGCAGCACTCAGGAGGAGTATTGCAGTAGTCTTCAGCGCTAGGCAGTAGTATTAGCGCTAGTAGTAGTCTTCCGCGCTGGGCGCCCATAGCCATAGCTGTAGTCTTCAGCGCTGGGCGCTATTAGGTGGTAGATCGTAGAGTTGGGAGAGATGGCTGGCGGAAGCCAGCGGTACTTACCTGTGGCGCCATCGCTCCAGCTCCATCTTCGAGGTACCTGCATCAAGGCGCCAACTTCACAGGTTAGTACTGGAGAGAGAGAGAGAGAGAGATTTCTCCTTCTTCCTCTTCTAAGTCCACCATGTCTTCTCACCCTCTCGCCACCTGACTTCTCAGACTACGACAGAGAGAGAAAGAGTTGTGACTTGAGACTTGACGACATTGGATCCAGACTTGACATTTGGGATTCAGACATTTCGACGAGGGACTATTTGGGCCTGTGCCGAAGACTTGGTGTTGACGACATTCCCATCTTCCCCTCCTCTTCGTCTAACCCCTCCTTCTTCGTCTGTGTATGGTTGGGGCTGGCGCAGTCTTCCTCTGTGAAGCGCCAGACCCCCTTCACACCAGATAACGATGATGATGATGTATGTTCAGGGCTGCATTGCAATATTGATTGTTCGGATCATTGGTATCTAAGTCTTCCGCTGTGTTATCTTGTACTTCGTATTGAGAGGTCGGTTCTTGTTTTGGTCTGCGTGTTACAGTATGCAACAGTTTGGTATCGGAGYGGACCTCTCATTCAGAGGACCCGCTCACGCATTAGTAATGCAAGTAGGACTTCGTCAAATCTCTGAATTATTTTTTTTTCCTCGCAACAACTATCTGAAAATTTCTGATATTCGCATTTCGTTTTACCTGAAAATTTCTGATATTAGTAGTTCGTTTTTACGTAACCCGCGGACCAGCTATCGGGCTCTGGCTGAGTCCGTAACAAGTACAATTATACCCATTGTGCATACATCAGCTCACTTAGTCTATTTTGATTTAGTAGTTGGTTGGCAGACTGCTGACACCTCACAAACGACCTAGAGTAGGACTGTAATGTTCTACCATAGTCGGTTCATGTCAAAGCTTTTGTAAGAGAACTAATCAGAGTAGGTTTATGAACTTTAGACTATGTGTTTGGTCTGTGTAAATGCTGTTGATACCGCTTGAACGGTAGTCTAGGTAAATTGCCGGATATTTATTTTAATTTTATTTATTTTTTAGAACCGGTCAGACGCCTCTTGTGGTAGGTTCCCGAGTGGACTCTAGTGCAGACAGCGTCTGCCTAGCCGATGAGTGGATCGAAAGGTGGTGAAGGTACAGCTGACGACCGAAGGCAAACTAGGCGTGATACACTTAGAGTACCTGGTGTTCCAGGTCCTGCTACCGGGAGACCAGAGAAGGCTAAGGGCCGAAGCAAAGGCCCGGAATCTTGAGACTGCGAGGGAAGCTGCACCAGCCGTAGAGAGGACATTAGCAGTAGCAGCGGCTAGCGCTGTAGTGATGACTACATTTGCGGCAACATCTGTGTCAACCTCGTCCGGTTTTCCGTTTGGAATGTCGGACACAAGCATTCAATCCATCTCCAGTACGACAGGGTCTCGAACCAGTTAGATGGCGGGCTTGAAGTCCAGTTCGCCGCATCCACGCACCAGATGGAGCTCCAGCAAGTAGTGAGGATCCCGCTTAAGGCTAGAGGAGGAACTTAAAATGGCTACGAAAAGGGAAAATGAGATTAGGAATAGAAGTGTCAAACTTGAGGGTAGGGCGGCAGACAAAGCTGCTTTAGAGGGGTTAGATGACTCCGCACTGGACAATAACATGAAGATAGTCAAGGCGAGCATCTTGTTCATGCATGCATACATGGACAGCAAACTGGATGCTATCCAAGACACCAAGACCTGGTCTTGAATGCCATGCACAGTCTAGGAGTCAGGCCAGTAGTTTTGCCATTGCTGCCATTCTAGGCGATGACAGGCCCGTATCCGCCTGAGTCTAGTACCGTACCAAGCGGTACTTCAGCAGCAGCTTTATCTTAGACTGCTGCCTCATCTTCTGGTCCAACGGTTGCTACTACACCTCAGCCACCACCTGTCTCACTAGTGGGACAGCAGCAACCATGGTACCCCAAAACCCCATTGGAACCATCCTCCACCTTCAGAGGTGATAAGGAGGAGGCTCTCGACACCTGGTTGAGAACGGTTTTAGTGTGGGTAAGGGCGAAGAGGACGCTGGTAGAGGAGGAAGTGACAACTGCTGCATACTAGTGATCAACAACTCGTTGGCTAAACGGATTAGTAGTATCGAAGGGATTTGGCAGGAACATGGGTGACTCGGCTAAGACCCATACCCTGGAGAGCTTTATGGACTTGGTGGAAGCGCAATGGCACAACCCACAACAAGCACAAATTGCCACTTATGGGTTGTTGAAACTTGTTGCTAAAAAGTGCAAGTCTGTGCGAGAACTCACCTCTATCGTAGAGCATTTGATTGTCGTCGTTGGGGTACAATATAATCCACAGGTTTTGTTGACCATGTTCTTGAGGTGTCTCCCACAGACATCAAGAACTTGCTAGCCAGCGAGGCTCAACTAGAGTATCTCATGGTTGAGACCTTTAGCAAGAAGGCCTGGGATTTGGAGGCTACGCTAGGAGGTGCTCAGACACCCTCGACGGACATAAGAAAGAAGAGTCCACAAGAGTGGAAGAAGAAGGGGAGTGGATTGATGATGGTCGAGGCTGATAGTACTCAGACCGAGATCGAGGATTTCTCAGACCTCAAGGACAGTACAAAGTTAGACAGCGAGGATAGTGTTGAGGGTAGCAACCTCAGTGCAGTAGTAAGAGGAAAAGCAGGAGGCCGCAGCAAGGACGGGCAATAGAGGAGTCTGGGGCAAACCCCCAACTCCATCAAGATAGTGGGTTGGGTTCGAGTGGGTTTGAATCAAGAGGTGTGGCAGGACCGTTATTCGCGGGGTGCTTGCATCAACTGCGATGAGTATGGCCATCAGCAGTTCAAATGCAAGAACGAGAAGGTACCGTAGAAGATACCACCTAAGGGTGGGATTCCCTTCTCCCAAGGCGGGGCCACTACGAGCTCTTGCTCGGGAAACACCTAGGGCTAGTAAAAGTTGTAGCTGCTTCTACTCTCGTTGAAGCGGGTGATGTACCCTCCCCGTTTCAAGAGTCGACCGAAGCTATTGACTCCTTAGTCACCCCGCAGACGCATCTTGACCCGACGACACTCTGTTCGTTGGATGTGTCTGAGGCCTTAGAGGACCTATAAAGTGAGTGGTTCTGGGTGGCACTAAGTCGAGGTCCTAGAGGGAAGCACTTCGTTGTGGAAGTTGGTGTAGGTGGCCGCAAGTGCGGTGCCTTTGTAGACATCGGCTCCACGTGGAACTTTACAAGTCGCGACTGCGTTGAAAGACTGTGCCTACAAGATCGGGTGCAGCGCCTTAGTAGACCTGTAGCATCTACTCTAGCCAACAAAGAGGGCGTGTTGGTGGAGGACTACGTTGAGGACGGTCTGCACTGTCTCCTATGTAGGAGGGGAACTTAATCATAAGATTTCGTTCCTGGTTAGCGACGACCTACCATTTGACATGTTGTTAGGTATGTACTACCTTAAGGTTGCCAAGCCCTAGTTTGACTGGGACAAGAAAGTGTTGACGCATGAGCTGCCCAATGGGAGGACCGTTAGACTAGCTAAATAAAAGGCTAGTAGGTTACTCGACTCTACAAGTGTTTGTGCGCATCGGCCTTCAATAACTATTGTACATGGTCTTTATCTCTGAGAAAGGGGAGGCCGTTAAATCACCCCCAGAGATAGAGAGAGTTGTCGGTAAGTACCCTGATCTGTTTGAGGAGCCCACAGATGTCATAGATCGAGAGGTTGTCCATGAGCAAGATACCCAAAGGGAGAATCTATAGGATGACTCCGGCCAAGTTGGACGAGCTTCGGGGGCAACTCAAAGAGCTCATAGAAAAGGGTTGGATACAGACTAGCATCTCCCCCTCCGACTCACCAGTTCTATTCGTACCAAAGAAGGGGGGATCACTTAGGTTGTGCATTGATTATAGGGGCCTCAATGCCGCCGCTGTTAAAAACGCCGAGCCCCTACCGCGCATCGATGACCTACTGGATAGGCTGCAGGGATGTAAGTACTTTACCAAGATGGACTTGGAAGTACGGTTACCATTAAATTGCCATCCGAACGGAAGACCGTCACAAAACCGCATTTCAGACTAGGTACGGTTTGTACGAGTTTGTGGTGATGCCTTTCGGCCTTTGCAATGTGCCGAGTACATTCCAGCATGCCATGAATAGCATCTTCCATGACTACTTGGATAAGTTTATCGTCGTGTAGCTCGACGATATTCTTATCTTCAGTAGGACTGTCGAGGAGCATGCTCAGTGTGCAGACAAAGTCCTTTCTCTCCTCTCGCAGCAGAAGTATAAGATAAATTTAGAGAAATGCGAGTTTGGTCGCACTAAGATCTTGTACTGGGGTCATGAAGTATCCGCAGAAGGGATTAGGCTAGAAGATGCGAAGATGGCCGACATTCGAGACTGGCCGCGACGCCAGTATGTACCTGAGGTCATATCATTTTTGGGAATCTGTGGTTATTACCACAATTTCATACAAAACTACAGGACGATTACATCTCCCTTGACTGATCTAACTCGCCTTGACACTTTGTGGGAATGGATAGACACATGTGAGACTGCATTAAAAAAATTGAAGCATGCCCAACATCATAAGGTTCTCATGGTTCCCGATCGTGAAAGGCCATTTGTAGTGACCACTAATGGCATTGGCACAGTGTTGGCTCACCAGGAAGGGAAAAAGTTGGATCGAGTACATAAACAAGAAGATGCCATCCAAGAAATTGGCGAAGTCCACCTACGAAAGGGAACTCTACGCCCTCCATAAGGCACTTGTCCACTGGAGGCACTATCTGTTGGGATGGTTCTTTTTTTTGAGGACTGACCATCAAACACTCAAGTGGATCAAGACACAACCTGTTCTCTCTGACGCACTCAAACGCTCGATTGAAGTCGTAGATCAGTATGACTTCAAGCTTAGATTACGTGAAAAGAGATTAGTTCATCTTTAGGTGAATGCCATGATGCAACAGGGCACTTCGGCTACAAGAAGATTAGTGCTAACTTGGTACAATGATTCTGGTGGCGTAATATGCTTGACGATGCAAAGACCTACGTTCAGACTTGCCAAGTCTGTCAACGGGACAAGTTGCGGACTCAAGCCCCTCTTGGGTTACTAAAGCCTTTACTCATTCCTGCTGGTCCTGGACAGAGTGTTTCCATGGACTTCATGGATACCCTCGTGACCAGCAAGAGTGGCAAGAGGCATATCTTGGTCATAGTTTATAGGTTCACTAAGTACGCTAGACTAATCGCCATGCATGAGACTGCAAGGACTTAGCACGTCATCAAGTTATTTATGGATAACTGGGAGCATGACTTTGGTCTTCCAAAGACGATTGTTAGTGACAGAGATATTCGGTTCCCCAGCGAGATGTGGAAAAAGGCCGCTGAACAGATGGGCAGCCAGCTCCAAATGACTTATGGGAATCTTCCTGAAGCCAATGGGCAGGCTGAACAGATGAACCGTGTGGTGCAGCAACTGCTGAGGCACTATATGAAGCCCGACCAGGATGACTGGGATGAGAAACTACCTCTCATCGCCAGCCTGTACAACAATGTTGTACATAGCACCACTAGAATCAGTCCTAATCATCTGCATCAGGGGTGGAAGTCTAGATTTGCTCTAGACTTCCTCCTGCCTGAAAATCGAACTGCTGCACCACCTGGAAGCATTGAATTTGGTGTCGAGTATGAGAAAGTGTTGCAGTAGACTGTCGAGCATATCAAGAAATCTCAGGAAGCAATGATTGCTTCTGAGAACAAGGACTGCCGACAGTCCAATTTGCAGGCACATATACACAATGCAGGGCCGATACATCCTGAAGTGGCCATAGGCCTACGCAAAAGCAGCACTGTCGACGTACATACCTCCGGTCCTGTGCAAATGCAGCAAATGGCCCAAGTATAGAGACTCTGGCCATGCCCAATTGTAAAGGGCCCAAGCCCTCAACTGTAGCACTGGGCCTGGGCGCAGACATTGGGGCCCAACCCGAAGCTAGAGGAAGCTTCCAGCAGGCATGCAGCCAAGCAGAGGCTGCCACTTCCATACAGGAAGGCAGGCAGCCAGGGTAGGGCATTCTGGCCCACAAAGGCAATGCGGTCACGCTGCTGCGCTGCTGCGTTAGAGGCTGCGTGCTATGCTGAGGCGAAAGCGTGTGCGGGCGTTTGTGAGGTGAAGAGTGGGCGAAGAGGGGCGCTGCTGGGCAGCGGAGCGCGAGCAGCCATATTCATGCTGCAGGGCGCTACGGGGGGTGAGAGGGCGATCGGTGGACTTAAAGAAGGAGGTGAGTGTGGGTGGACAGGGTCTGATGAGGGGAGATGAGATACGTACCTGGTACATGAGAGAGGTCAGCTATGGTGTTGACGTCATGTACATTGGGTCTTCGAGAGCCTATTGCGAGAATGCTGTTGTGGGTAGGATAGTCGAGTACTGTAGGCTGGGCGCTGGGCGCCAGACAAAGAGGAGCGATTTTGGATATTGCGTTGGTATGGCGTGAGGGCTTGAACATTGACTCATTACTTCATTGTATTGCGCTCTTATTTGGATGACATCTCGGTGCATTTGTGCTCTCAGCTTGTACACGACTTCTTGGACATCGTTGTGATTTCGCAACTTGGCTTTCTGTATATCGTTCCCACTCATATTCCTTGCACCGGCAAGTCAGAATAATAAAATATTACACCATGAAACACACTCATATTCCCACTCATATTCCTTGTACCGGCAAGTCAGAATAAAATATTACATCATGAAACACACTCACGCTTCCTTTGGTCCGGCCGAAGGAACCCTGACTAGCATTGATTATTCTCGCATCATGGAGGATTCACTGTCAACTTGCCTTACTTCCACCTTTCCTCTTAGTTCCACTACACGAACCTGTCATATAAATAATAAACAACAAGAAAGGTAAGAGAAGCTACAAAAGTTACAGTCCTGGAATTCGCCCTTCAATATTATGTGACCTGTGATGGATCTTGTCCTTCCGTTGGCTGGAATCTCTGTCTTCTCCGGTGCAGTGGCCCAATCTTATTTAGGTGATTTGGAACACTTATTGGCCGTGGGTGCCTGTATGCGCTCCAAGTCTGGGCTCAGCAGGGTTTTTGGATCGTCTGATATTGGCATCGGACCTGTGGTAAAAATTGAGAGTTCGGCAGCCGAACTAGCGACGATTTCTCAACACGTAACCTCCTGGTGGTGCGGGTATTGCGGACACGCAACCAGGCTGACCATTCTCTGACATTGCGAGGCACGAGAGATGTCATTGCGGACACGCAACCAGGCTGACCATTCTCTGACATCGCAAGGCACGAGAGATGTCATATAGTGAGGGCGAGTCGAGATGCCTCTGGTGGTGTCAGAGGCAGGCGCACTCAGGCCTTGGATCCTCTTAGGGGTCTTTTTCCCCATTCGGCCTGAGACTGAGTGGTGGCCTGACAAGGCCCTTAGGGCTTTCAATGAGGCATATTGCATGCGTCGCTGTACACACCCCGACACGCAGCGCAGCTCGCTTAAAAACCCAACCCGCATGAACCCGCTCTTCCCCTGCGTCCCCGTGCAGCCCCTGTCCCCGTACACCCCCCGACCACCCGGCGATCGACTCCTCCAAAGCGCAGCGCCGCTTGGGTAAAGACGGAACCCGACGAACAGCAGGGCGATGGAATCGAACCACGAAACCGGTCAGGTTCCTCGCCTGTCTCTGCGCGGGCCTAGGCTCTGGGCCGGTTCCCCCGCGTCGGCTCGGCCCTCCGCCCCTTGGACGCTTCGCTTTTCCCTGCCCCCCGCGACG